TATTATGTATACAGTGTTCTGTCTGTATATATACCTTGACACCAGATCTCATTACAGATGGTCATGAGTCACCATGTGGTTACTGGGAATTGAACTCAGGACCACTGGAAGAGCAGTCAGTCCTCTTAACCTCTGAGCCATCTCTGCAGCCTGAGACAGGAGATTCTCTTAGGCACTAATCTAACATGCATTTTTGGCTGCCATGTGTAAGGCGCTGTTGTAGGAGTCAGAATGCCAACTGTCAGCGAGAAAAGGTACCTTCTGGAGGGAGGAAGTAGATGGACTGAGGTGATGCTTGCTGAACTGCAGTATTAAGACATCACTTTAAGGGACAAGCCAGGCTGTGGTGGTGCACGCCTTTAATCCCAGTACTCGGGAGGCAGAAGCAGGCAGATCTCTGTGAGTTCGAGACCAGCCTGGTCTTCAAGAGCTAGTTCCAGGACAGGAACCAAAAGCTACGGAGAAACCCTGTCTCGAAAAATCAAAAATAAATAAATAAATAAAGATTAAAAAAAAAGAAATCTAAGGGACATAAATGCAAAAGGTGAGAGTGATGGGGGATGAAGGTAGAAGAAAGAAGACGAGACAAAAAAAAGCCAACTGAGCAGATGGAGAAGCAGAAGAGCGATGGGATGAAGGTGGAGAAGTGGAACTGTAGGAACAGAGGTTGCAATGCTTTGTGGCATGGGGGAGACCTCACCGGACTCTGCCAAGCTGCTGGGGCCTAGCTACAGGCAAAGCAGGTAGGAAGAGTCTCAAAGCCGGGAGAACAGAGGCCAGGACAACTGCAAGAAGGTGAGTGTGAGCTTTTGGTCATGGCCAGAACTTAACACTTCTGAAAATTACTACGTTTGTAGTCTACTTAAGTTTAGAGACGAGGCTGTCAGTGTAGCCAGTAGCTGACTACTGACCAGCAGATTGTGCTCCTTGCGGTATCCATGGCTCTATAGTATTATGTAAGGAAGATGTTAGGTCGGAAGAAAACAGTTGTCATAAGATTCTTTTTTTTTTTTAAAGATTTATTTATTATGTATACAACTTTCTGCCTCATACCCACACGCCAGAGGAGGGTGCCAGATCTCTTTTCAGATGGTTTGGA